GCTGGTGAATTTGAACTGCTGAAGCTTTGCTTCACAGTTGTGTGCTTTAACCGCTGTGCCACCATGAATTCCGTGTACATATATTGTTGTTGTTCAATGCCATGGAATTGGCTCCAACTCACGGCGACCCTGTGTGCGAGAAGGAAACCCTGCTAGGTCCTGGGTCATCTTCACCATCCATCTCATGTTAGAGCTCCTGTTGGCAGCCACCGTGTCAGACTAGCGTGCCCAAGGTCTTTCCCTTTCTTACTGCCCCTCTACCAAGCCGATGTCCTTCCCCAGGGACCGGTCTCGCTGACAACATACCTGCCTACCTAGCTACACAGATTCCACTTTTCTTCACCAAAATGGGATCACACTAAAAATTAATATGCTGCAAATTGTTTTCTGTTTTGTTCAACATAACATTCTCCTGTTCCCATGAATGTACCTTGTACTTGAAGCAATATAAAAGACTGTCTTGACCACTCACTCAGAGACAGCTATTCAGGGACAACATCTAATACCAATAATGTTATGGGAAACATTGAAAGATTCGTTTTCTTTTGTGTCCTCTCCTAATAAGCTTATATGATGCTTTATATTGTTCATGTGTGGCAGGGAGAGAGCTCATCGAAGCACCGGATGAAAGAACCATGGACAGATTATATAACGACAACACAGACATCATCGGGATTGTGTTTGCTGATATTTTCTCCTATCAGCTGAAGCTTGATTGGGGATACAGAATTCCACATACGATGGAGCACCCTGAATACTCAAGTAATTATGAGAATTGATTCCAAACTTCTTGCTCCTTTATCAAATTCTAGAGGGAGTAAGTGATAGAAACATCAAAAAATAAAAACATGTAAAGAAGTAAGATGTGCCTTTTCCCTGAATTTGGTGATCAGTCTTTACTATGGGAAGAGTCTCCTTATTTTAACAACCACTCAATTAGACACTTCTTTCTTGTGGTTTTTCCAGACTGCTTTCAGGTGGTCTTGATGGGGTGATTGTGGGCTCTGAGCTGATTTTTGGGATGTTTTACTTTACAGACAAAATAAAAAGATGAAGTTTTGATTCCAGTAACTCATGGGTTTTTTTGTTCTGTGTGTGTGTGTGGTTTTTGTTTTTGTTTTGTTTTTGTATATGTGTTTTGTTTCTCTTAATTTAAGAACATTGTCAAAGGTGGAGTGATCACATTTCTTGTTCCTTGAAAATATATTGGGAAAAAGGACTTGTGGTTTTTCAAAGTGCAATCAATGCTGCCATTATAGAAGTAAGTGCCTGGCATCAAATATACACATTAATTCTTAGCCTCTGCTTTCTAACCTCGACCTCTTCCCCATCTTGCCCCTGTACTCTCACGAGACGGGACATTGTGTACCATTGAGCAGAGAAAATAGAAGTCTTCAAATGAGAATATGTGCCCATTTCCCAAAGCAAATTCTCTAAAGTTACAGAGGGACATCCTGTCACCTGCCTCAGGTCCTTCTTTACACAATTGCTAGACTGAAAACGTGACTTTTCAACCTTGCCAGAAAACCTCAGGATCCACTTCCCACCCTTCCCATCATTATCCAACCTCCCTCTTTCAAGTACTTGCTCCTTTTCGGATTTAAAATTTTGAAATATCTCCATATGATCAACCCAAACCCTTCCCACCCATAGTACCTCCTCCACTATCTCCCTTCCCTTAACAGCTAAACTTCTTGAAAGAGTTGACCTCACTTTGCCTCAATGCCACTCAATATGAGTTGTAGATCTACCACCCTACCAAACAGCCTGCATAGCAACAAACAGTGGTCCTTTTTCAATCCTCCTTCAACTTGATTTCCCAATGAAACCACAGAGCATGCGCCCATATTGCCTCCTCCGTCTCTAGCCACATCTGTTCATCACCTCCCCAACTCAGCCACCTTTTCCTTCCCACTCCTCTAACTCCTGTTATTCCCCAAGGTCATCTCTCCACCCGATAGACTTTCTCTAGACCAAATCACTAATTTCTGGAATTTTTATTACAATTTACATTCTGATAACTCCAGGAACCTCCAGAACGAACAAATTCTAGACTAACAAACTTTTTCTACAAGGGCCAGATAATAAATATTTTAGTCTTCAAGGTCCATGAAATCTGTTGCAACGACTTAACCCTGCTTGTGCTTTGTAAAGGTACCCCTCAGGACAGGCAGACACATATTAGCATGGTAGGGTTCCAGGTAGACGCTTTACACCAGGTGACTGTCCACATTCCACTGATGAGCCGCCGGTCCCATAGCTCGACTCTATACACTGACTTTCTCTACTATGAGGTGTCAGCACAATTCCAGCGTTCTGTGTTCCAGTTGAGAGGAGGCGCTTTTCTCTAACGTGACTAACTCTTCTTGCTTGTTCTTTCCATGCTCCCAATCGCTTTGAATGCCCAACCTCCCTGTTGCTCCCAAGCACATTGGAGCTGTGTCGGGGTAATTCTTTGTGCTTTTCTCATGTGCAACTTCTCATCCGGCCCTGCTGAGTCGGAACCAGCCCTCCTCCTCCAGTGTGCCGCCAGCACTAGCCAACCAGCACCCCCCCTTGCCTGAATGGGAGAGCTGGGTATCCTTCAGGCTTCGCTGCCTGTTTCTTATTTTGTCATTTGGCCCACGCTGACCTCCTTTGCCTGCCTCTGTCATCGTATGCTCCTCCCTTCCTCTGCACATGTGGCTCCTTCTGCCCAGAACTCCTCCCTCTCCCTCCCCCTCCTCTTCCCCCTCCCCTCCCCCTCCCCCACTCCCTCTCCCCTTCTCCCTCCCCTCCTCGTCCCCCTCATAGCTCTTCATATTTTAAAACTGACGACCATATGTAAACCCTGTAAGAGACCAGACACCAAAGGTGTGTGATTTTTCTCCTGTGGGCTTCCTGTCGTTGGCCTCCCGCAGCTGTTTCTTCACCTCCTATTTCAGATCGCGACGAACCACTCTGTGATGGAGAAGCTGCTGTCTGTCACCGGGATCAATATGCGGACACTGCCTTTCATTACTAAGAGCAAAGCTATCAATGAATTGGTTATGTTAACCTCCATCATGTCCTTCTCCCCTTTTGTATACTTTTTATCCTTAAATATTACGAAGGAGAGGAAACGCCTTAAAAAACTGATGACCATGATGGGTCTCCGAGAGTCAGCATTCTGGTAAGTGATTACTCGATTATCAACACTGAGTTCCTGTGGGAAAGCATGAGGGTACCACCACCACAGTTGGGTACCCTCCCTAGTGTACACGCACGCTGCTTAATGGTTTTTTTGTTAATCACGTTGAAAGATGCTGTCGGTGGAAAATAAGGAAGGCTTTCCCGAGTGGAACAAAAAAAAATGTGATTCTTTTTTCAGTTAGATTTTGCCAAAATAAAAGTATGTAACAAGCCACCCCAAATCCCAGTGACGTTTCTTTCTCATTGTATGCGGCTTCACTGGAAATTAGCATATCTGAAGAAGACTGCGGG